AAAAAATGTAAAAAATAAAATAAAAATGGGCCTGGGCCTGGAGCTGCAGCTCCATCAGCCCCTATGTTAATCCGGCCCTGCACCTCTTCAGTGCCACAATCTCAAAGAGGCAAATATAACCTCTGCTCTGCTTTCACGTAAAGGAGCACTTCCTGCACCATAACTACTAAAACAAATTGTAGTAATTCCCTGTTGTTCCCCCAATTTTGGTAGTCAAGAAGTCAAACTGTTCTAAAAATGATTTATCCTGAGTCCTCTGGTCCTCACTCTGTAGAGACGTAAGCTCCTGCATGGAGGTTGTTAGTTCGCCTCAGCTAAGTCCTGCAGCGCTTGGTCAGCTGATTGGCTGACTGTGTCAGTTGATCATTTTCAGCCAACGAGCAAAAGCCAGGCATCACTAGGTCTGGTTCAGGCAGAGAAAAGTATTGTAGTGGTTATAATGATCCTTTAACAGAAACACAAGGATAATCTGTTAAAATGGCAGATAAACCTTGACCCCATAAAGATGTAGTAAATACTTTCAATACAATTTACTATTCTTTGCTTATTTTATAAATCCCATGATTGGGGGGGGGGGGGAGGAATTTGTGTTTTGTTTTTTTGGGGGGTTTTTTTTAGTCAGCACTGACTTTAGATAGTTGTCACTTCGTTTTAAAGGAGAAGGACTTGATAAGTTCAAAAGCATATATATTGTGAAGACAATCAATCACTATAAGTGTAAATATTAGTGAACTGGAGCTAGTAATGGTGAACCTCACCACACCACCAAAACAAAACGTATTCAACAATGATAAATGCAAAAATATAACTACATAAGCTCCAGAATGTACATACAATTTAAGGTGGAGTATTTCTCTGGTTTGTAATAGAGAATTGGAATGGTTCCTGGACAATAAGTTATAGGAATAAAGTATAAACAAACAGATAATAGTGCAATATAGCCAATATAAATAGTAAAGTGTGCATAAATAGATGAAAAGGCACTCACAAACGCAGAGCCATAAAAGTCGGCTCAGATATCCAGCTTTGTGGGATATAAAGGTACCCACTCCCTTCTTGTTGCTGATTGATGGTCTCAAGCAAAATGGATATATTCAAAAATCCATTTAGATGTAAAGTGCTTTATTAATAAAGTGCACAATATAGTTAAAATATATATAAAGAATAAAAAAATAAAAACCTTACAATTCTGAAGGCAAAGTCCTTTGTATAAAGTCCTTGTAAAGTGCAAAACGCGTTTCAGCTCATAGAGAGGCTTCCTCAGTTGCTGCTTCATCTTGTCCTTGGGTTCTTTTTATATACAATTCTTAATTAGCGATCATTCTTTCCCTCTTCTGTTTTCGGCCGTCATTTTCACTTCCGCTTCCGGGTTTTTGCGTTCCAACCATGGAACGCATACATCACATGGTGTATGTTGGAATGCATCTTTGCGTTCCAAAGCCTATACTTCGATCTTTTTGGTCATATTACATGGAAGGAGTTCATAATTACACATGTTAGAAAGAATAAAGAATATATGTTATTGTGATAACATAAATACAAATAAAGATGTTTAAAAAGGGTATTAAGTGCACATATGGTATAAGGAAAAAGAGATATATGTTTATTCTGCTTGCTATTAAAGGGCCAGACAAAAATCATAGCCAAAGAATAGATCAGTATTTTAAAAACTGTAGTAACTTATTCATTAAGAACTTGATTAAAAATATAACTCTAGTGTTAAAAATATATAATATTATAAAAGTTGGAAGTATGTTCTAGGAATAATCTATAATCAGGCAATCATTAAATAAAAGATATATATGGTTTACTATATAAAAATGTCAAACTTTAAAAATGGGGTTCTCTATGGAATCTAATACTATTTAAAAATGACAAACTTCAAAATCGGAATTAAGACCATAAGGAATGACGGTTTTAAAACGGAAAATAAAACTCATTTCTTCTTTTCCTAAGATTTTAATATAATTACCCCCTCTAAAATTTCTTTTAACTTCTTTTATGGCACAAAAAAACTGACTTTCTGGATTTTGATTGTGAAATTCTTTAAAATGGAATGACACACTGTGAGTTTCTAAGCCGTTTTTAATGTTCCTAATATGCTCGGCAATTCTAACTTTCAAAGGTCAAATAGTCCTGCCTATATAGAGTAAATTGCATGGGCACTTTACAATATATATGATGCCCTTTGAATGGCAGGTCAAATGGTCATTAATAATATATGGTTTTTTTTAAATAATATTCCCTATGTCTTTCAGGTGTCGCTTTTTACTTTGTGTTGTCCTACAAGGAAGACATGCCACATCCATAGAAGCCTTTCAGATCTTGGATAAAATGTTTAAAACATTGATAAACAGACAAGAACTTAGTCAGGTAGCAGTATACATCTGTATAAAGAAAAAACTGCATAAGGTGTTATAACGTTAAGGAGAAATGAAGGGGGAAGTGAGAGCACTCACAAGACGTCAGAATAAACAGGCTTGTCTCCCCAACAAGGGGTATACGATCATGTAGATAGATCCTCCGTATAATAAGTAGTCCTTGACGGTAACTACATTAAACTGCTCTTTATATGGAGGATCTATCTACATGGTCTAATACCCATTTTTGGGGTGACAAGCCTGTTTATTCTGAAGTCTTGTGAGTGCTCTCACTTCCCCCTTCATCTCTCCTTAAGGTTATAACACCATATGCAGTTTTTTCTTTTTTTTTTCTTTATACAGATGTATATTGCTACCTGTCTGTTTATCAGGTGGTATCCATCGTTTTTAAAGTGTCACATTCTGGAGCTTATGTAGATATATTTTACAAATATCATTGTTGAGTACATATATATATTGTGGTCCAATAACGGACTATGAAGCGTCACCTAACTATTGTAACTACTGACACCCAAAAGCTATTGTACGTAAATGCTGATTAAGTATTGATGTCAAAGTATGTGTATATGTGTAATCTGATCATGTTTAGAATATTTAGGAAGCTGATTAACACTGGTTTTGTTTTTTGTTCATTTTCAGGATGGCATGAACTGGGTCTGCAAAAATGTAAATGCAAAGAAGAAATAATTCCTCTGATAGAACCAGGATCTGAATGACTGAATATCATGTTGAAACAAAAGGATGCTGCTTTAAGACCAAAATTGTTTTCATCTATATTTTGAAGGGACTCCAAGTTCAACACAATATTTTCTTTTTTTCTTTTCACTGTTACAACTCTAATTAAAGGCTTACGTACCAGCCAACAGTAGCTTGTTCACGAAATAGCACGTCTACTGCTGCCGAAATGGCATTTATTTAATCTTTTGAATGGAAAAATATTGATGTTACCATTTTACTGTTTGCTATTTTAGTCTTTATGATAACGGAATCTCTAGTAGGATCAGGAAGCTGTCTTTGTTAGATACCTTTTTTTGCCAGTCAGATGAAATCATTGGCTTTTTTGCTAACTTGCTCATCTGAGCTGTTTTGTATATTTACCCTGTACCCCAGTGACCTACCTGCTTTATAGAACAGGAAAGGCACACATTGGCAGCCAAGGTGTTTTTAGAGCTACCCTACCACGTAAAATCCCACAGTTATCCAGCACGTTTATAGACCAGTTTGTAAAACCAGGCACTACATTTTCAGTGGTCTTTCATTTCATATTGACACAGATCCTATTTGAACATATCAAATGTATTCCACAGGATGTGTTCTAAAATTAAAGGGTACCTTCCATGTATATGTAGCATGGTAGTACTTTCTAGGTTTTACTCTCTATATATATTGTGCTAGCTGAATGACATTTAAACTTAAATAGTTAAATTTTCCTCCCTTTTTTAAATCATACAGGCAGCATAGATGTATGAAATAAAGGTATTGTGGTTGCAGTGGATGTGTGCATTCTGTCGACATACATATGCACGTACAGCCCAAGAATACTTTGGTACAAGCAAATCTCAGTTAAAGGAAGTGTCCTGTTCCTAGTCTTTCTCTACCTGTGTGCTTTTATTTAGAAGATCCTTGGTCAGAAGCACCTGCTTATCTTACACAAACAAAATCACCCAACTTTACCAGTAGATCCAGGCTGACATCATTGCAATATGAAAGTGTGATTAAGGAAAGCCATGTGATCTTTGATCTAATTAGCACATGCTACTAGCTAAGAGTATATTAAAAGGCCGCCACACGCCACAGAAAACGGCTGGGAACCTGACAGGGTCCCATTTAACAAATGCATTTGTTGATGATTCTTTTTGCTGGCACAATATATACATTAAATTTAAATACTTGACCGAGACTGTCAGAAACACTTATTGTGGATACGTTGTGCATACTTTATATTTGTAAGTTATTTCTGATTTTTAAAATAGACCCCTTTCAATCTGATATTTCTCTATAGGAACGAGGGAACAATAATCAGAAATAGAACGGTGTGTGTATTGACATGTTTAGGAAGAAATGCCCTGACACTGTTCTAAATATGATTGGGGAATAAAAGCAATACCATTTAAATAAACAAACCTGTTCCACAGAATATAGGCTTTGTTTTGGCTCTTATGTTTTTATCTGCATATCATTTTAATGTGTTATCTATCTTTATTTATTTGGGGGGTGTGGTTGGGTAGCGGGTTGTGATTTTAAGGAGTTAGACGACTGCTAATTTTGTTATGGAAGGGTTTCCAAGAGAAATCTTGAATAATGCATTTGGGAAGAACACTATAGTTTTACTTCTCTTTGGAACGTGAACATTCCAAAGAATATGAGCAATTCTAGATTTTGTTTTGAGTAAACCGTTCTTGAATATTACCGGTCAGATTAACTGGTTTAAAAAGAAACACAAAAAAAAAAACATTTTAAAATACATTTTTATAGAAAGTGAAATTCTGTATTTCTTATTTTAAATCAAATCAATATATATATATATATATATATATATATATAATTATTATTATTATTATTATTATTATTATATTTTTTTTTTTTTTTAAACAAAAGTGTTTTTAAAATGGCCACAGTGACCACACTGGAAAATTAAAATAAAATGTGATCTGTTTTAGGCTAGTTTGGATTAAAATATTCAATTAAAGGAACACTGTAGTTACCAAAACCGCTTTGATGCAGTTTAGGTGTATAGATCTTGTCCCTGCAGTCTCACTGCTCAGTTCTCTGCTATTTAGGAGTTAAATCACTTTGTTTATGCAGCCCTAGTCACACCTTCCAACATGTGACTTACACAGCCTTTCTAAACACTTCCTGTAAAGAGTCATCTAATGTTTACATTTCCTGGTCGGCACATTTTAGGCTGAAAAATGACATTTTGACATAAATGTTGAAAAAAAATCAAATAGATAACACATTGAATACAAAATAAAGAGCTTTGGAACGTCTTTGGGTTTCTGCAAAATGCTTGGTTCTGCTGATTCTTTATTGAGCTGTACTTTGTTATAGATTTATGGGATTGTTTGCTCAGCCGTTAGGTTGCTGCTGAAGGCTGTACAGCATGCAACAAACCCAGTGGCAATTAGCTTAAAGGGACTCTCTGAAACCATTCACAAAACAGCCTGAGAGAAATAGAGAAATACATGTGTATTCTGATAGGTTGAGTTTGTCAGCTGACACTTTTAGCCTATTGGCAGCACCCCTGTCCGAGGCTTCCTGTTTTATGCCACATGCTGCAGCGGAAGGTGATGGGCAGAGTGGTAGGTTTCAACACTAAGGGATTAACCCCTTAAGGACACATGACATGTGTGACATGTCATGATTCCCTTTTATTCCAGAAGTTTGGTCCTTAAGGGGTTAAACTGTTCGTCAATGACTTAAACCTATGAGGTAAGCAAATGCCCAGGACTTCCTCGCACCATAACAACTTCATTCCGATGAAGTTGTTATGCCCAGAATTTTTCTTTAATTCATGCAAACAGTGCATCTGCTAATTTGAATTAAAGTCATAGCAGCTCAGATTATTAACCTGCTACTATTAACCTCCAAAATGATTTGTTTTAAGCCATGCAGCAAAAAGTGTAAAAGGAAGCAAACAAGCTACATTAAAGCAGCTTTAGTGCCTTGTGAACTTTACAAATAAGTGTAGTCTCCAATGTGCTTCCTTCCATCACTTAAACAATGTTTTACATTGTCAATTTAATTCTTGCACTTGACTCCTGGAAAACCCATAGAAGAAGCATATTAAAAATGAGCAGAAATGGTGAATGTGACGAATCTCACCGTTCTGAAGATTGTCAGAAGATTCCATCTTACACCTCCCTGGTGGGTTAATGTCTGTTAACTAACATTTAACCCCTTAAATCCGCAGGGCGTACTATTACGCCCTGCAGGAGCCGGCTCTAAACGCCGGCGGGCGTAATAGTACGCCCTCACTTTAATGGCCGCCCACGTGGCCGGCGCTATTCGCCCGCTGCAGATCGCCCCCAGGCAACCCCCCCTGTGGCCGGTGACCGCGATCTGCAGTCACTGATCGCAGTGACAGGCTGTCACTGCGATCAGTATTTAACGTGTGTCAGCCGATTTCAAATCGGCTGACACACGTGGCCGGCGGCTTTCTGCAATGCAGATCGCGGTCGGGGGACTTACCTGGCCCCCCAGGCAGTCCCCCTGGGGTCAGTGACCGCGATCTGCACTGTCTGAGATCGCAGTGACAGGCTGTCACTGCGATCTCAGAGCGCTCTGATCGCAGTGACAGCCTGTCACTGCGATCAGTGTTACATGTGTCAGCCTATTGGCTGACACATGTAACTGGCACACAGATCCCCCCTGCAGATTGGAAGGGGGGAGTGCTTGTACCACCCAGGCACTCCCCCCTGTGGCCAATTACCCAATCTGCAGGAGGTGATCACAGTGACAGGCAGTCACTGTGATCACTGATCCTGTGTGTCAGCCAGTGATGTAAAATCACTGGCTGACACTGTCTCTGCCCCCTGTCCTGTAAAAATAAATAAAATATTAGTAAAAAAAAAAAAAATTACAGTTAAATATAAAATATACTTAGATCATATATATATATATATATGATCTAAGTATATATATATATATATATACACACACACACACACATTTACACATACACGAAGTGTATTTAAATATTAATATATATAATTATTTATATATATATTACTATCAAATTACACGTAGACTAATACTGATTAAATATATATATATAATTATTGTTATATATATATATTTATATATAATATAAAAAAATGTAAATACGTAAAAAAAATAAAATTAAAAAAATAATTAAAAATAAATAATAAAAAAATATATAGATGTTTGTTATTTCGTTCTAACTGTATTGTGATATTAATATATATATATTTATATCAAAATACACGTAGAACGAAATAATATATATATCTATATACATAAATATATACATATATATCACTAAATATATACACCTATATATAAATAAAAATATTTTAAAAAAATTATATATATATATGTATATATACACATATGTATATATATACATATATTAATTCTACACATATATTTATGTAATATTTTTACATAATTAGGTATCCTAATTAATTACAATTAGCGGGACCTGCCTGACAACCCATGCCGAAAGTATAGGGAATTTAATTTGCTAGCACTATATTTAACCCTATAACTTTCCAAGACACCATAAAACCTGTAAATTGGGGGTACTGTTTTACTCGGGAGACTTCGCTGAACACAAATATTAGTGTTTCAAAACAGTAAAATGTATTACAACAATGATATCGCCAGTAAAAGTGAAGTTTTTTGCATTTTTCACGCACAAACAGCACTTACACGGATGATATTATTGCTGCAATACTTTTTACTGTTTTGAAACACAAATATTTGTGTTCAGCGAAGTCTCCCGAGTACAACAGTACCCCTCATGTACAGGTTTTATGGTGTTTTCAAAAGTTACAGCGTCAAATATAAGGCTTGTGTTTCATTTTTTTCACATTAAAATTCGCCAGATTGGTTACGTTGCCTTTGAGACCCTATGGTAGCCCAAGAATGAAAATTACCCCTATGATGGCATACCATTTGCAATAGTAGACAACCCAAGGTATTGCAAACAGGGTATGTCCAGTCTTTTTTAGTAGCCACTTAGTCACAAACACTGGCCAAAATTGGCGTTTTTTTGCATTTTTCACACAAACAGATACTAACGCTAACTTTGGCCAGTGTTTGTGACCAAATGGCTACTAAAAAAGACTGGACATACCCCATTTGCAATACCTTGGGTTGTCTACTATTGCAAATGGTATGCCATTATGGGTGTAAATTTCATTCCCGGGCTACTATACAGTCTCAAAGGCAACGTAACCAATCTGGCGAATTTCAATTTCAAATGTAACGTGCTATATTTGACCCTGTAACTTCCCAAAACGCCATAAAACCTGTACATAGGGGGTACTGTCTTACACGTGAGACTTTGCTGAATACAAATATGTGTATTTTATTGCAGTAAAAGCAAACAGTATTATGACACTGACCGTTAAAATGTCATGTAGAACTAAAAAAATCAAAAAAATCTTATTTTCTCCCATTTTTTTCATATTAAATTATGTTTCATAGCTAAATATTTGATATTAAATGAAAGCCCTGTTTCCCCTGAATAAAATGATATATAATAAGGGTGGGTGCATTTACTATGAAAGAGGTGTATTACGGTTGGACAGACATGTAGCGCAAATGCCAGGTTTTGTTTACATTTTGTTTCGTTCACACTGTGTACATTTGGCTCCGTCCTTAAGGGGTTAATATTCTAAGCATGCATTCATATATCTGAAATATATCTGATGTGTTGTGATCTTTGTTCCAAGCCAAGTTTACGTTGCTGCTTATTTGCATAGCGGTTTTCCTGACACTATAGTGCCCTCAGGGTCCCCCTCCCGTGGCACTGAAGGGGTTAAAACCCCTTTAGTCACTTACCTTATTCCAGCGCCGGGCTCCCTCGGCGCTGGTGACCCCTCCTCCCCCGCCAACGTCAGCTCCCCCGTCTGATGTCAGCAGAGCCGAATGCACATGCGTAGCAAGTGCCGCGCGCGCATTCAAGCTGTCAATAGGAAAGCATTTCTCAGTGCTTTCCTATGGATGCTCTGCGTGATGGAGGCATAATATGCCTCCTGCCGATGTCAGCTCCCAATTAGAGGCTGTCTTAACCCAGCCACTAGACGTGGTCTTAACCCTGCAATGTTTGCACCTGAAGGGTTAGAAGGGAAACTGCTATCTTTGCACCTGATGGGTTAGAAAGGAAACTATGTTTGCACCTGAAGGGTTAAAGCCTGAGGGACATTGCACCCAGTCCACTTCATTGAGCTGAAGTGGTCTGGATGACTATAGTGTCCCTTTAAATTTGGGTTCTATAAAGTTCAATTTTGGACAATACCACTTAAAGTAATAATGTATGCACTATAACTCTTTAATCTCATTGATGTGGTTATAGTGTCTAGAGTTGGCTAGCACAGTCCTTCCATTGAGTGAAAAAAAATGTCTTTATTGTTTTAATGCAAAATGCCTATCCTCTCTGTGCTGCTTGGAGTGATCAGAAAGCATTAACTTAAGTAGCAGTTGGCAGCTGTGATTGGCTGAGAGTGTCAGTTGCCCGCTACTGGCGAGAAGGAAGTGTGTAATATCAGCTGTACTTCCAGTGTGGGCAAGGATGGCAAGAGACCCTCATTCAATGTTAAACTGCTTGATATTTTTAGGCTGCATGGGGACTCTATAATGAATTGATGAGATTAAATTATTATGGTACTCATCATGTCCCTTTTAAAGCAGCAATGTCATTTAAGTTTGCATTTTATTCCTACAGGTTATCTTACAAGACAAGATAATCTTTATAAATTTACTTAAAGGGACACAATAGGCACCGAGACCACTTCAGCTCATTAAAGTGGTCTGGGTGCAGTGTCCCATGCCCCTTAACCCTGCAATTGTAATTATTGCAGTTTTTGAGAAACTGCAATGATACCTTAGAGGGTTAACTCCACCTCTAGTGACTGTCTACTCCAGGCGTAGGCAACCTTTTAGCATCACTGTGCCAATATAGGATTGTGATGTCCCGTAGCGTGCCGATCCTATTTTTTTAAATTGAGGTGTGTATGCTGCCGTATTCTGCTTGTGTTATTTTTACCGTAATTGCTTTGTATCATTATATTTGTGCGTATATGAGCCATTTTATTGTATATGTTGATAAGTAGTTTGTGGTATCGTGTATGATACCTATGAATGGGGGCTGCTTGTTGAATTGAGTGTGGAAGGAAATGTCACCTTGTGTATTTGTTAGTTTGTGTATGTGTGGGGGCTGTTTGGGGAATTGCATGTGAGAGGCTGTATGTGGGGTTGTGTGCATGTATGTGGATTGTTAGCGGGTTATGTTTGTGCTGATTGTGTGTATGTTTGTTTGTGGGCTGTTCGTATTATTTGTATGAGGGGAGGGTTATTGTGCATTTCTGTGTATATCTAGCCGTGTGGGTGGCTTTTCCGGGTTCCAGGCTGGCCAGGTACAGGAGGTGCAACAGCAGCTGCAGGCTGCTCTACTAAAGTGTGGATTCCCATTCACAAGTGCTTGGAGGAAGTGATCTGAGATCACTTCCTCTACGTTCTGCAATGCATAAATTGAGGATTGTCCTTCACCACCTCTTCGTATTAGCAGATATCTGAAGTTTCACTGGGACTCCTGATAGGACAAAGCCTGTTTGGCTCTAGCAGCCTTGAGTGCCGTGCAAAAAAACCTTGAGTGCCGTAGGTTGCCTACACCTGGTCTGCTCTATAATATCATATATTTGCTTATCTTGTGAAGGTGGCCTGCCAGCATAGTGTGCTACAGCTCAACAGAGAAGCAATTCAGAGCTATACATATTCTCCCTTGCGATTCTTCCTTGTTCTTCATGAGGATATTCTTTAGCTCCTGGTGGTTCAGGAGACTGTCACTGTCATACTCTCGCATATAACCAGACCGCTGGATCTTCTGTAGAACTACTAACAAAATGTGCAAGAAAAAGATTTTTCACCCACAGCGTACACTAGTGAAGAACTGACCAAAGTTGACTTTGGAAGCCCTGCCTTTTGTTAACTTTGGATAGGCCCCTAACACAAAATCGTTCCTCCTTTCTCTTATGCTATCTTTTGATTGTGTTGAATTTCATTGAAATTCTAAGGCAGGAAATGAGTAATTCATAAGGATTTGCTCTTTATGAGATACTCAATAGTAACAACGCCACTTTAAACTAAAAATCTCATTCTTCAGCCATATGTGGAGACTTATGAGAAAGGCTAATCAAGAACAGCTGGCGTTTAAACTTTTTGGCCAGTACTGCTTTATAAAATTATTGCTCTGTGAAATTTGCAGACCGGCCAATTCATTTAAGACAAATCATTAAAGGGACACTGTAGGCACTGTGTCTGCTCTATCTCATTAAATTGGTTATAGTGTCTGGAATCTCCTGGTACCATCATTTCATTCAGCATTAACCCATTTTTAATATTTTAATGCTAAATGAGAGTCCCCAGCAGCCCATCCCCATTGTGCTGCCTTGGCTAATGAGGAAGTATTAGTCTAAGTAGCAACGGGCAGCTGTGATTGGTTGAGACGGTCAGTTGACTACTTTTAGCATGAAGGGTATAACTACACAGAATTGTGTAAACTCTGCCTTAGTCACACCTCTAGAAGTGGCCGGACTGTGGGTGGCCAGGGACCTGTATTTAATGTTAAAGTGCTCTAAAAGGGTTTAACATTGAATGGAGGGACAGTGTCTGTGAACTCCACACACTATAATCAATTCAAAGAGATGAAATGGTTACAGTGACTACAGTGTCCCTGTAATTTATTTTTGAGACCCTAGGTCAGTTACCCATACAATTCCAGTGGGTCCCCAGTAGTTGGGATGGGCACATAATATTGATCAGACCTCAGGAAACTGCCCTCAATAAATTCATTTCTTTGGCAACAATACTCTCCAATGTGCATTGGAAATCAATCTGATTTAGAGAACAATCTTACTGCATTTTTTGACAGCTGAAGTATAGGTAGCCATGCTAATGGACCCAGTGAAACCATTGAGTAACATAAGTAGTACGTGATGTAGACACACATTCTCCTAACCAGCATGGGAGCGAAAGTGGGTGCAATATTAGACTGGTAACAACGTTGCCAAGACCATCCTATTGTAGATAGAATAAAGTACCACTTTGCATTTATTTTGTTAGTGTTGCAGTGTAATATTGTGGATCAGTAATTTAAAAGGACACTGTAGGCACTTTAACAGCTTAATTTTATTGAAGTAGTTATAGTGCCTGCAGTGATGCCTTCCCCCCTACCCCTTCTTCTACCCTCAAAACCCTTTCGTTCACTAATTAGAGGACTTGGACGTGAGGTGGTAGGTATGGGGTGAGGGGGCTCATTGATGAGGGGATTACGGGCTGTACAGTGTTCCTTTAAATCTGTCAATCCCATACACGATCGCTGCTAGCAAACTGTTAAAATATGCTTCCACCACCTGAAGGGAAATGTTTATTTTATTCAAGTTGGTATGGCTGACTTGATTTGTACTTATGCGGAAAATAGATATTTTTTCCTTTCAATTTATGGAATACCAATGCTTTGTGATAGTGTTATGTGCAACGTAAATTTAAAATAATGAGGAAAGTGTTGCACACAGCTACCATTATGACAGGAACTTATGAAACACTGAGGCTTGGCATTGCATGAGCGTTCTTATGGGATGCTGGGACGTAACTGTGTTACTACCTACATAAACTACAAGACTTCTTGACATTGTTAGCTTGTGCGTTAGAAAATTCTTTCTCACCCCTCTCGCAAATAAACAATTTTACTAATATCCTCTTACTAACGATCGTACAGTTCTAGTGTTCTAAATAAGGTTCATGGTTTTCTAGAAAATATGGTACTTTGTTTTAGTCCGTTTTTTAAATATGATTTTCAAAAAAAATAATAAATAAACCCAGTTCAGTAGGAATACACGTGCAAAGTGGTTTTTGTTTTCGCTTGTACCTCCTGTATTTGTGTTTTAAAATGTTGTATTGTCTCTTAGATGCACTGTATCTTTTTGCTTGTACAAGTTGTACCAATGCACAACACTACAGAATATGTTGGCGCTATATTATATAAGTATAATAATAACTGATCCCTTAGTCAGTAACATGACCAAGAAAACAACCTTCGCTTAATGAAACAGTCCTCATGTATAGATCACGCCCCATGCATTCTCTCTGCTCAATTCTCAGCCATTTAGGAATGAAATCACTTTGTTTATGCAGCCCCAGTCACACCTCCCTGCATGTGACTTACACAGCCTTTCTTAACACTTCCTGTGAAGAGTCATCTACTATTTACATTACCTTTCTTGCAAATTATCTTTCATTTAGAATGTCTTATCTCCTGCTCTTTTAACAGCTTGCTAGACCCTGCAGGAGTCTCCTGTATGTAAAGTTTAATTTACATAGCAGGAGATATAAATGTTTAAAGTAAGTTACATCTGATTGAAAGTGAAACGTTTTTTTCATGCAGGCTGTGTCACAGCCAGGGGAGGTGTGGCTAAGGCTAAATAAACAGAAAAAAAGTTGATTTAACTACTAAATGGCAGTGAATTGAGCAGTGAAACTTCAGCAGCATAATCTATGCACCAAAACTGCTTCATTAAGCTAAAGTTGTTTTGGTGACTACAGTGTCCCTCTAAAGTTCAATTTACAGAGCATGAGATAAATCTCTGCAGTAAGTGAACATCTGATTGAAATTTTTTTTTTAATGCAGGCTGTGTCAGTCACAGCCAAATAAGGCTGAATGGAAGGAATTGAAGAGGTAGGTCTCCCATCCAATCTTCCCATACTCTTTGGTCATTTTCAGAAATGTATTTCAACCAAAAAAACGATATGTAAAAAATGAAAGAAAAAAAAATGGATATAGGATCAATCGATCAATCCTATCGGAATACTGTAGTCACTATAACAACTTCATCTAATTGAAGTTGTTATAGTACCTATAGTTGCTCCCCAGTGAGAAAATGTGTTATTTCACAACTCACAAGACTTAGAAGTGCGGCTTCAAGCCAAGCCTCCAAGCCACGCATGCGAAGTGCCGTCATGATTTGTCATAGAAAATCATTGAATTCAATGATTCTCTCTGACAGAATCTTTGAGGATCGCAGCGAGTGCTACGCATGTTCCTATGGTCCCAGATACTCCTCGGAGTGTTGCATTTGACCTTCATCATGGAGGCACGCCTACAGGATGACGCCAAGCGAGGAGGAGCGGTCTGCAGCGCCGAGGGAGACCCAGAGCTGACGAAAAGGTAAATAAAATATATTATATATTTTTTAATAACATTACACACCGTGGGATCCCTGAATCTAGCTAGGGACAGGGAGAATATGGCGTTAGGAATACAGATTTGTATTGTTAATGCTACAGCCATAACTTCTACAGAGTGCTTATATTGACTAGCTGCTTACACCTTCTTCAATACAATGACTCCTTGCAATCCATTTTTATAGTCTTTTTATTTTCCGTTATTGAATTATTATAATTATTATTTTGTCTTTGAGTAGCTTTTACATGGACAGATTGGCCCTGTGCAGCAATCTAACCCTAGACTTTCACTACGTGGTAGGTCTATCGTCACTTTGGGAGACTCTGCACTGTCATTGTTACCTACCATTTGTCGGATCCACTCCGTTACAGTAGTATACGGCTTTAACAATCCTGCAAGGTTATTTAACCTGTTGTTTCAGTAGCATTTCTTTAAGTGACAATAGGATTCTACACAAGGGAGCATTGTTATGCTGGCACTGCGGTCTTGTGAGCATATATACAGTAATGAGTCCCTATGTGCTACTTCCAGTGCACAGATACCTCATTAAAGAACTAATTATCTTCTCATCTGGACTTAATTTGACTGAGAGCCCGCGGAAACTTAAATTTAGTCCTATTCCACTTCCAGCTAAGTTCAAGGGTAGCAAGTGTAGCATCCCCCATAGAATCTTTTATAAAACTAGAAAACATAGGATGCTTTAAGGTGTTCTCTTTTTATAATTTAATATACTTTCAAATCCTTCTTTGAGAAGTTAAATTTAGAAAAACAATAAATGTACCAGTATTTAAGGGAAACTTAGGCACACTTTCAAATTCCACTCAGCGTTTTAGGTGAGAAAATATTTTGTTGGCAAACACAGACTCGGGGTTGTTTGACATGTCTTGCTGTTATAGATTGCTTTTTTTGTTGGAGCTCTGGCATATCTTGGCCTGTCACTGTTTACTAGAGAACTCTGCAATTTAGAACTGTTCTGGGTATGACCTTGTGCATGGCATACATAGTGAGCCTCCAACCACATTCGGAATCTGTTTAACAGTGTATGAGGGATGGACTGATTTTTACCTTTCGCATAAAAATAATAGTGGCGTTAAAAGTATATTTTAACAGAACAGTTGCAAACTTCAGTTTTTTTTGCATTCCTTTGTAACCAAATTCCTAAAAGCAAAAGTTTACTGACTCAGTCCGTGTAAATTTCCCATAATTCTCTGCCAGCAGTTGATTAGTACTGTAGAGCGTTATGGAAAAATAGTTTTAACAGCTGATGGGTTGAGTTGGGAAAACAGTTCTTCAAACTAGGCATTAGTTTAAAGGGACACTATAGTCGCCAGAACAGCTACAGCTTAAAGCAGTTGTTCTAGGGTGTGTCTATGTCCCTGAAGGGGAAAGGCAGTGTATTGCTGTCTAGGAACACCTCTAGTGGCAGAGGAGATGGTGATTGGCACAGAGAGGCGTTTTGCTGCTCATGCACAATAACCTCCAGGATTTTCCTACGGCAAAGCATTGGATTGGCTGAGATCATCAATGTAACGGATCACCTGGCACCCCGACTGGGTACCTCCGTTGAAGGATGCTCCTAGCGCTTCCTGAGGACTCCAAGCACTCTGGCAGACACCACAATCACCGAACCGGAGAAACAAATAAATTCTCCCAAGCATACGAATGCTGTAGACAGTTGAATAGGAACCATGCGAATAGGTTTACACTCCTAGCAGTCAAACTGGAACAGCATACAATGAATCCTCCCCCAATAATGAGACAACACTTCACTTTGAGGGTTAAGCAGGAACTCTCTGTACTGTCACATACAGTCTCTTTTATTCCCAATCCACAAACATAGTACAGCCCACAGGGCGTTACAAAACAGCCAATCAATCCATACAATACACCCAGACACTCCCACACAAAATCCTCCCCTCTGGCTGTGATATGATTACTGAACACAATGGGTAATCTAATTATCACAGCCAGAGAAATACAGTTTCATAAAACACATCACAGGGACCCCAAAACATGCAATAACCCCATAAAAAGTATATCCTTGGAACTGGGGGATCTGGGTGAACCACATATCCAAAATTCACCCAGATCCGTTCAGTACTTTGGAAAATACAGTTTAATGCAGATTCTGCAGAACATATACAGGCTAAATAAAAACAATCACTGTATAATGTGTCCCCTGCTGTATAGTCCAAAACCACCGCACGATGTCTCTGTGCAACAAATACTGGCGAGATGGCACCGTGTTGAAAAGTCCAAACAGTGTCTGTGAGTTAAAATGGCCGCCATCCATTGTTCTCACCATGTGCTTCTGATACAGGAAATGGTGGCCACCCAGTAACTCCACAGTATGTCCCCAGATGGTTCTTAAAAGGGCCAGCAGCAGCACAACACAAATCCATTATGCCCAAATCATGTCTTTAAAGGGCAATACATCCCAGGGGCCATAGTCACATGGCAGGAGGCTGGCAACCAGGCTTCTCCAGTGCATAGTGGCGAGATTGGTTCCGCCACAATCAACTTTGATGTTGAACTTGGGCAGGCCTACCAGACGAGACCTGCACGGTGCTGAAAAAAAGGTAAGTATACTACTTTTTACAGGAGAGCAAGGGGGGGCCAAAACCTAAACTGTTTTTATACCTATAGTGTCAGGAATACACATTAGTATTTCTGACACTGTAGTGTTCCTTAAAGAAAATTTGGGAAATTTCGGTTAACAGTGAATTAAAATTTTAGGGCAACTTATTAAACAAAAATAGAAAGCAAGTTTTTCAGTTGAGATATTTTTCCAAGTTGACAATTGAGGCCTACATTTTGCAGTTTGTTTTTTGATTTTTTTACTTACTATTTTATATAAATATTAAAAAGAAAAAGTGTATTTTTCTATCCCACAATTCTGTTTTAAATTGCCTTCCTGTGAAAGTCAAATTCTAAATTTCCTTAAATCAAGAAATAGAAGATGATGCAGATTAAATTTGCAAAACACACAATATATAAGGCCTCACGCTGACTGGGGCCTCACGGGCGCCTAAATTGCCTTAGGGCAGATTGACCTGTCGGGTCTTCAGTCTATGGCGAGGGCCCGTCATCAGGAGGGGATCTGGCGGCTTACACTTTATGCTGCCGGTTGCGAGGCCCCTCTATACAGTCTGCCTTTGGAGCAGGGAGCCCAGTCTC